TGTAAGGCATATTCCTAAGTATTTCATTTTCTTTGGGACTGTGGTGAAGGGGGTTATATCCTTGTGGACATTGATTTTATATCCTGCAACATTACTGTATTTTTCGATGACTTCCAAGAGTCTAGTGGTTGAATCTTTGGGGTTCTCCAGGTATAAGATCATATCGTCAGCAAAAAGGGAGAGTTTAACCTCATCTGCACCCATTGGGATACCCTTTATTTTCTTGTCTTGTCTAATTGTATTGGCTAAAACTTCCAGCACAGTATTGAATAGTAATGGTGACAGAGGACAACCTTGTCTGTTTCCAGTTCTAAGAGGAAAAGCTTTCAGTTTTACTCCGTTCAGTAAAATACTAGATGTGGGTTTCGATCAGTACCACCTATGACTATACTCCTCAATGTGCTAATTAAAAAAGGATGCGGAATTTTACCAAATGCTTTTTCAGCATCTGTTGAAATGATCATGTAGTCTTTGGTTTTACTTCTGTTGATATGGTGAATAACATTATAGATTTGCGTATATTAAACCAGCCTTGCATCCCAGGGATGAAACCTACTTGATCCTGATGTATAACTTTTTTGATGATAAGCTGTAATCTGTTGGCTAAAATTTTATTGAGAATTTTTGCATCTGTATTCATAAGTGAAATTGGTCTGAAATTCTCCTTTTTAGTTGAGTCTTTACCTGGTTTTGGAATCAAGGTGATGTTTGCTTCATAGAACGTGTTGGGGAAGATTCCTTCCTCCTCAATCTTTTGGAATAATTTCTGCAGTATTGGAATAAGCTCTTCCTTGAAGGTTTGATAGAATCCAGGTGTGAAGCCATCTGGACCAGTGCATTTTTTTGTTGGTAGATTTTTTATTGTTTCTTTAATCTCAGTGCTTGAAATTGGTCTGTTCAGGAGATCTATTTCATCTGGGCTAAGTTTAGGGAGAGGGTGCGATTCCAAATATTGATCCATTTCCTTCACATTGTCAAATTTCTGGGCATAAAGTTTCTGGTAGTATTCAGAGATGATCTCTTGTATCTCTGTGGCATCGGTTGTTATTTCCCCTTTATTATTTCTGATTGAGGTTACTAGAGATTTTACTTTTTTATTTCTAGTCTGGCCAACGTTTTATCTATTTTATTAATTTTTTCAAAAAACCAACTCCTTGTTTCATTAATTTTCTGAATGACTCTTTTGTTTTCAGTTTCATTAATCTCTGATTTAATTTTGGATATTTCCTTTCTTCTGCTAGGTTTAGGCTTAGATTGTTCTTCTTTTTCCAATTCCATCAGATGGCCTGTGAGTTTGTTGATATGCTCACTTTGTGATTTTCGAATGTAGGCTTCTAAAGCGATAAATTTTCCTCTCAGGACTGCTTTTGCTGTATCCCATAGATTCTGGTAGCTTGTGTCTTCATTGTTGTTATGCTTAAGGAAGTGAATAATTTCCTTTTTAATTTCTTCCTGCACCTAGCTATCATTCAACATAAGGTTGTTTAACTTCCATGCCTTTGTGTGAGGTTGAGCGTAATTGCTGGAGTTGAGTTCCACTTTTAGTGCCTTATGATCTGAAAAGATGCAAGATAGAATTTCAATTCTTTTGATTCTATTGAGGTTTGCTTTGTGTCCAAGGATATGATCAATTTCAGAGAATGTTCCATGGGACGATGAGAAGAATGTATAGTCTTAACTTTGGGATGGAGTGTTCTATATATGTCTATCAAGCACAGTTGTTCTAAGGTCTCATTTAAATCTCTAATATCTTCAATTTCTGTTTAGAAGATCTGTCCATCTCTGAGAGAGGGGAGTTAAAGTCCCCTGTTATTATGGTGTTAGAAGATATGGTGTTGCTCAGACTAAGTGAGGTCTGTTTCAAGAATCTGGGAGCATTTAAATTAGGTGCATAAATATTTAGAATTGAAATGTCTTGTTGTATTTTTCCCTTGACCAGTATGAAGTGCCCATCATTGTCCTTTGTAACTTTAGTTGCTTTAAACTCACCTGTGTCTGAAAATAAGATTGCAACCCCTTTTTTCTTCTGACTTCCATTTGCCTGAAAAATTGATTTCCAACCCTTAACTCTGAGTTTTAATTTGTCTTTCGATGTGAGGTGTGTTTCCTGCAGACAGCAAATAGATGGCTTGTGTTTTTTAACCCAATCAGCCAATCTACGCCTCTTGAGTGGGGAGGTCAAACCATTGACATTTATTGAGATAATTGACAAGTGTGGTCGTGTTCTAATCATCTTATTTTGTGAAAGTCCATTGCTTAGTTTTGTCATTTGCTTCATTGTGAAAACTAGGTTCTGACCTTTAATTTCTGGGTGACTACTTTGGTCCTCAAACTTTTTAAATAGGGGGCCAGTTCACTGTCCCTCAGACCATTGGAGGGCCAGACGGCGGGCCCAGGATGAGTAGGCTGCTAAGCAGGACAGGCAGCAGCGGCAAAAACACCTGGTGGGCCGGATAAATGTCCTGGGCAGGCCGCATGTGGTGGTCCGTGGTTTGAGGACCCCTACAAGGTGGTTTCTTAAGATGTAATGTACTCCTATGAAGATGTTGTGGACAGTGGAAATGACAACAAAGGATTTCAAATATTTCATAAACTTAGCTGATAAAAAAATGGTAAAATTTGAGAAGACTGACTTCAATTTTGAAAGAACATAGAATTTTCTTTGTGGTTACCTTGGGGCTTACATAAAAAACACTTTATGTAGACAACTTCAATTATATACAAAGCTGTCCTTTAACAACTCTACTTTTACATTATTAATGTCACAAGTTTGTGCCATTAAGATTTTTTTTTTTTTTTGAGACAGAGCCTCAAGCTGGTCCCCTGGGTAGAGGGCTATGGCTTCACTGCTCACAGCAACCTCCAACTCCTGGGCTCAAGCGAGTCTGCTGCCTACGCCTCCCAAGTAGCTGGGACCACAGGTGCCTGCCACGATGCCCGGCTATTTTTTTGGTTGCAGCCATTATTGTTGTTTGGGGGGTCGGGGCTGGATTTGAACCCGCCACCTTAGGTGTATGTGGCTGGCGCCTTAGCCGCTTGAGCCACAGGCGCCAAGCCACCATTAAAATATTTTAACATATTTTTTATAGTTATAGGTAGTTTCATATTTTTTCTTTTTACAATTAGAATTAAATGAGCTTGATGTATCACCATTATAGTACTAAAGGGTTCTGTATTTACCTTTATAGTTGAACTTTGTAATTTCCCATGCTTTCATATTGCTGTGCAGCCATGTCCATTTCAACTTGCAGGATTCATTTTAGGCCATTTCTTGTAAACCAAGTCTAGTGGTGATAAATTTCCTCAGCTTTTATTTATCTGGGAATGTCTTTATTCCACTTTCACTTGAGGTGCAGTTTTGCTGAATGGCACTCCCAGTTGGCAGGTTTTCTCTTTCAGCACTTAAAACATAGCGTCCCACTCCAATTTTCCCTGTTAGGGTTCCACTGAGAAATCTGATTAATTTATGGAAACGCCCTTGTATGTGACAAGTCACTTTTCTTTTACTGCTTTCAAGTTTCTGTCTTTGACTTTGGATGAGTAGGTTCTTGGTTAATACTTAGGTTCACTTTATTTGGAGTCCTTTGAGCTTCTTAAATTTGGATCCCCATTTTCTTCCCTAGATTTGGGAATTATTTTGCATTATCACTAAATAAGATAAATAAGCTTTCTTCCCTTTCCTCTCCTTTTAGAACTACCATAATGCAGTATTAGTGCATAGTGCACTTGGTGTTGACGTGTAAGGCCCTCAGGCTTTCTTCATTTTTCATGTTTGCTAATTCTGTTTTCTTCTTGATGGGGTCTGTTCCTGAACCCCTCTAGGGAATTTTTCCATTCTTTTATTACATTGTTCAGTTCCAAAATTTGGCTCTTTTTAATAGTTTGCGTCTCTTTGCTGATATTCTCATTTTGTCACAGACTGATTTTGTTGCCTGTTCTCTATTGCCAGGAAATTCATAGATCTGTTTCTTAGGGGATGCTTTCTGGAGATGTAATTTGTTCCTTTGACAAGGCTATGTCTCTATCTCTTCATTTGATTTGTGATTTTTTTGCTGTTTTATGCATTTAATAAAACAGCTACCTCCTCCAATCTTTATACAGGGGAGAATTTAGGCAACCAGCCTGGGTAGAGATTTTGGGAGCATGTTAAATTTTTTTCTTTGGGAAGATTCAACTTCCCTTACTTGTGTAATTTCCCAGTTAGAGTCCTGCTGCTTTTTCAGTTTATAATCGCTTGCTCCCTCTTGTGTCTCTGTCTAGTATTGTAAGTTATCTGGGGCTACACTTTCTGTGTAAAGTGGAAGGTACATAGTAGACACTAAAAAACGAATACTACTTTTTATAATTTTTTTTATACTAAAATTCTTTTTTTTTTTGAGACAGAGCCTCAAGCTGTCGCCCTGGGTAGAGTGCCGTGGTGTCACAGCTCACAGCAACCTCCAACTCCTGGGCTTAAGCGATTCTCTTGCCTCAGCCTCCCAAGCAGCTGGGACCACAGTCGCCTGCAGCAACGCCTGGCTATTTTTTGGTTGCAGCCGTCATTGTTGTTTGGCGGGCCTGGGCTGGATTTGAACCTGCCAGCTCAGGTGTATGTGTCTGGTGCCTTAGCTGCTTGAGCCACAGGCGTGGAGCCTAAAATTCTTTTGAAATGAGGAAATTATCCTGGATTATTAGGGTGGGCCCTACGTAATCACAAGGGTTCTTGTAACTCAAAGAGAAAGGGAGATTTGAAGCATCTACCTGGTTTTGAAGATGGAAGAAAGGACTGTGGGGCAAAGAATATGGTAGCCTCTAAAAGCTGGAAAAGAGCAGGAAACAGATTCGCCTTGGTCAGCCCAATAAGACCCATTTTTTGATTTCTGACTTCTCTAACTCTAATAAAAATAAATTTGTATTGTTTTAAGCCACTAAGTTTGTTGTTGTTTATTATAGCAGAAATAGGACGCTAATTAGAATTTGAATTTTAAAAAAAGGGATATATTTGAGGCAAAATTACTTGGGAAATAACATTTTATTGTACAAAATTTGTATTTGCTATATATGATGAAAGCATGGCAAAAAGATGTTGCGCTAACCCTTTTATTGAGATTTTCTGTGAAAAGTAGAATTTACTTCTAATACATTATACACTTTCTGTCCAGAATGTTTAACTTTTGTGCTGGTAATAAGTGTCTTGGGATACAAGGTATAAAACTGAAAATACATCAAAAAAGTGCAGGGGGGAAACCATTGCCAAAGAGTAATCTCCAAGAACTTGGTATTTTCCACCGCAAGGAAGATGCTGTGGGGTCATCACTCTGTAACTTAAGAATAAAACATTTTAATTTTTCAATTTTACCATCAAATCCCCTTTCAATATGTATTATAATCATAAAACTCTTCTTCTGGGTTCTTTTAGAGTCTGACACTTAACGTTTCTATACCTCGTGACAACTGAAGATAAATTTGTTCAAGTTCTAAATCAGAAAGATTGCCAAGAAAGGCTGCAGGTAGAGTCCAGAGTAAAATCAAATTTAAAAAGAATAGGGGGTTGCCATGTGGTTTGTTATCAATTTTTTCTTGGGAAAAGCATGAATTAAAAAGACAGCTACCCACCACAGATGCAGCCTCATGATGGTTCCATTGTGCCTAATGTCTAACTCATTTCTCTGGGTGTAATGCTCTCATTTCACAGTATGGAAATATATCTTCATTATAATACATATTCAGTTTTTGCTTCCCTAAAAAAAAATCCTGAATTCCAAGAAAGACTTGTTCTTTTTATTTATTTATTTTTTTTGAGACAGAGCCTCAAGCTGTCCCCCTGGGTAGAGTGCTGTGGCATCACAGCTCACAGCATCCTCCAACTCCTGGGCTCAAGCGAGTCTCCTGCCTCAGACTCCCAAGTAGCTGGGACTACAGGCGCCCGCCACAACGCCTGGCTATTTTTTTGGTTGCAGCCATCATTGTTTGGCGGCCCTGGGCTGGATTTGAACCCACCAGCTCAGGTGTATGTGGCTAGTGCCTTAGCTGCTTGAGCCACAAGCGCTGAGCCGACTTGTTTATTCTTAAGAGAATAAACAAGCATAATTACCATAACATGAACATGAATATAATGAAGAACTTAATGAAACAATTGTAAATAATAGGTTAGTTAAATGTCCTCTCTTATTTTTAAAAGTTCAGGTTAAAGAGAATTTTATGTAAAGATATGTCTATATTTAATATAGATTTTCACTTACACAGTCCCCTTACATAGTACATAAAATGCAAGTTAATAAATACATGACAAGAGGTTTAAGCTACAATAAAACTCACATGTGGTTTGATGATCTGAAGCCATTCATTAAGATACTCAACAAGACCTAATGCATCTGGGATATTGTCCCCTTCTGAAACAAACTTCAGCAGAACTGCCATTTGGATATCTTTAGAAGAGCTACAAGAAATAAAGAGAATAATTCAGTATTCTGCCACTGATAGAAGATGCTGACTATTTGACTATGTCTGTCTTTACAGCTAAAACAACCTGCCAGATTTTAGGAAAGGAAAAAACACCCCATCCTAAGATAATTTATTCACCTCCTTCTGTCCCATCTATTTCCTTCTCTTTATTGACACAGGATTAGAAGCCATGTTAACACTTGTCCCGGGACCATACAAATTTGTGCCTCACTCCCAAGGCTGTCTGGAAAACCATCTGTTCTGTCCTGGGTTATAGCAGATGAAATATGTTCTGATTTACTCCCCAAATCTACTTTAGAAGACAATGATTTTTAGAAGCATCACAGCAAAGAGACAGAAAGAAAATACCACCCTGGTTATTAATAATCTAAAGTAGTGAAGGAAAACCTATGACTGCTTGTCACAGATACCATCGTACTGAGCTGACTGTTACGTGCTTGTGTGCAAGTTCTATTGACTCAATCCCCTGAGGAAGCTGTAATTACCTCTATTCTATAAATGAGTCCATATAGAACAATGGTAACTAGGACAGACACCAAGATTCAAATTCTAGCTCTCCTACTTACCAGATATGTTGGGCACCTTACTTAACTTAACCAGAGCTCCAGTGCCCCTCATCTGCACAAGAGGGAGAACACAATCTGTTGCAGAGCTTGTGGTGAGGTTTAAAGGAGGTGACAGAGGCAAAGCATGTCAAAGTGTGACCAATGCACAGTAAACATATGGAAGTGTTAAGTTACTATTAGGAGGTAACAGGTTTAAAGAGACTGAAAATTCAGTTAATGTGCTCAAAGTTCTATATTTAGTAAGTGGCAGGGGTGGGATATAAACTTAGGTCTTTATGTACCCTGAGATTTATATATGGTGATTATATCTGGAGAGGGTCTTTAGGAAGGGATTATGGTTAAAGAGGTCCTATGGGTAGGGCCCTGATCCAATATGATCTTATGAGAGGCAGGGAGGGAAACCAGGGGTGAGTACACACCAAGGCAGGCAGCTATCTGTGAGCCAGGAAGAATGTCTGTGTCAGAGCTCAAACATGCTGCCACTGGTCTTGGACTTTCAGGCCTCAAGAACTGAGAGAAAATATATTTCTGTTGTTTTCATGGCACCCTGAGCTAATACAATAGTCTGGGCCAAAAATAATGTGGCCTGAATGAAGCAAGAGAATCATTCAAAGCAGGTAGTTTGCAGGCCTTCTAGACCAGTGTTTTTCAACCTTTTTTTAATCTCACAGCACACTTGAGCCTATAATTAAACTTCCCTGGCACACTTAAATTATGTTGATCAAAAAAAAAAAAGAGTGAAAAAAGAATATACTTACTGTGCTTTGAACTTCTTTCAAAAATAATTAATGATCTTTAAAAATTTTCGTGGCACACCTAACACCCTCTCACAGCGCCACAGTGTGCCATGGCATACTGGCTGACAATCACTGCTCTAGGTACTGGGTAAGGTAACGTGTAAACTGATAGTTTCTTTTATGGGAAATAAAGGAGACAGGAAAAGGAAAAACTTGAATATGTAGTGGGGCATGGTGGCTCACAACCTGTATCTCAGTACCTTGAAAGGCTAAAGTTGGAGGACTGCTTAAGGCCAGGAGTTCAAGACCAGCCTAGGCAAAATATTGAGTCCCTGTCTCTACAAAAAATTTTAAAAACGTAGCTAGGTGTGGTGACACGCACCTGTAGTCCGATCCCCCATGGAAGCTAATGCAGGAGGATCACTTGAGCCCAGGAGTTCCAGGCTACAGTGAACTATGATCATGTCACTGCACTCCAGCCTGGCTGGCAGAGTGAGACCCCAGTCTCAAAACAAAAGAAAACAAAATAACCAAAAACTTGAATGCATGATGGACTAGGACAAAAAAAGAAAAGTTGAAGGAAGTGATGATTTTAATAAGAATACAGTGCTGGAACAGGTGAGTACAGCCAGAAAAGGGCAAGTTAGCTACAAGGGAAACAAGTTGAGGTGTGCGTTATCAATCCTGCCAGAGAAGTCTTAAATATTTTCAAATAAGAAAGGGGTATATAAATGTAACAAGAAAAGGATTCATCTTTCACTTATTTATTTTTTTACTTTGCCTTCACTTGGCATGAAGAAGTTTACCTTTTAAAGAATAAAGCTCATTATGCACTGGACCACGATTATTAGATCCTGTAGTGAAGTGATTAAAATGCAGGATTTGAGGCCAGTGTTTGAATTCTGGTTTGGCACTTACTACCTGTATGGCTTAAAACAAACAAAAAAAAAGACATGCGGTTTCGTTATGTTGCCCAGACTGGCCTCTCACTCCTGGGCTCAAGTGATCTTCTCATCCTGAGCCTCCTGAGTAGCTGTGAACACTCACTGCACCTAGGCTCCTATATGGTTTTTAGCAAATTACCTTGCTGCTCTTTGATTGTCTTTTCTTTCTTTTCTTTCTTTTTTTTGAGACAAAGTCTTACTTGGTTACCCTTGGTAGAGTGCTGTGGCATCTTAGCTTATAACAACCTTGGGTTCAAGTAATTCTCTTGCCTCAGCCTCCTAGGTAGCAGGCGCCTGCCATAGAGCCTGGCTATTTTTTTTAGAAATGAGGTCTCGCTCTTGCTCAGGTTGGTCTCAAACTCATGAGCTCAGGCAATCCACCCACCTTGGCCGATTTTCTTATTTTTAACATGTAGTTAACAATATATATCTGTATGCTTATAAGAATCAGACCACTTTATAAATGTAAGGTACACAAAACAGTGTTGGGTACACAGGTAACTGCTATTGCTACTATTACTACTTACACACATATTTCTGTCACTACTGTAATACTATGACTTCTTCTGAGTGTGCACAAATCACAATCCAGATTTCAGAGCAAACAAAACAGTGGCTCTATTTTGCAATGGTGGATTTATACCCCTGTGATGCATTATGGTAAGGACACAGACTCACCAACTGATTCTGCACAATGTATTGGTGAGATGGATGGGGCACTAGTCGGCTGAACTGTCTGAGCCCACTACTGAGGGCATGGGAGGGATGACCTCACTTATGCCTTATGGGACAGTGCAGAGCAGAATGTATGGGATGAGAAGCACAGAAGCCACCTTCTGAAAGCTGCACTCCTCCTCTCAGTCACTTGCTCTGTCTCCCAAGAACTCATCATGTACAGCCATTCCCCAGCAGGAAGAATCAAAGGAAGTTAAAGCACATGTCAAGGGTGGAAAATTTATAAATATGTGGATATTAACACATTCTCAAACAACCAATGAGCTGAGGAAGAAATGACTTAAAAAAATTAGAAAATACTTAAGAGATGAATGAGGTTTTTTTTTTTTTTACCTCTGTTGTGTAAATTTCTTTCTTTTTTT